GAGGGTTATAAATTGCACTGGAAACACGGAAATAAAGGTTCACTTGTTAGGTCACATTGATCGTGCCAGTGTCCTCACGCAGCTCCCACAGACACGGGCACCACCCCACTGCATCCTGAGGAGCATCTCCTGCAGGTTTTGGCAGGGTGGAGCAGCTGCAGTCCCACCTGGGAGAGGACGCAGCCCTTCTGCCCATGTGGCTTCCCTAACACCAACATGATCCAGACTGGTGTGGACCTGGCAGGCAAAAGAGGAGGCTGAGGGGAGACCTTATCGTTCTCTGCAGCTGCCTGAAAGGAGGTTGGAGCGAGGTGGGGTCGGTCTCTTCTCCCAAGGAACAAGTGATAGGAGAAGAAGAAATGGCTTCAAGTTGCACCAGGGGGGGGTTAGATTGGACATGGGGGAGAATTTCTTCGTTGAAAGGGCAAGCATTGGACCGGGCTGCCCAGGGAGGTGGTGGAGTCACCATCCCTGGAGGTGTTCAAAAACCATGTAGATGTGGCACTTCGGGACACGGTTTAGTGGGCATGGTGGTGTTAAGTCAATGGTTGGACTTGATGATCTCAGAGGTCTATTCCAATCTGATGATTGTATGATTCTGTGATTCCTCCCCAAATCTGCCTGCGTGCCTCTGCGAGGGGACGTGGTCTGAGCTCAAGGACGCAGATGGCACCAGCCCCAGGCTGTCTAATGGGCTCTGGTCTCCATGCCCAGCCCTGACCACCACAGCAGGGCTGTACTGGGACACCAAGCCCCTTCCCCAGTCCCCAAGGCTGGGCATCTCCATCGGACACACACACCCAGGCTGAAAGCACCGGCTCAGCTAAGGTCTGCTCAAAGGAAGGACTTTATTGAGACACTGGCTTGGACAAGAGGCACTTGGGGCTGTACAGGTCTCAGGGGGACACAGACATGGTACGCCCCCAAGCTGCTGGTTTCCAGGAGAGATTTCCAGGCACTGCAGAGCCTTATTAACCCCGAGATCAGAGCACGCCCCTGCCCATGGGGCCAGCCCTTGCCGCCCGCTGTCACGACAGATGAAGCCATAGCTGGGGGTGCAGCACCTTGGGACCACGGAGGACCATGAGCTTTGGGGTGTGCTGAGAACTGGAGATGATGGGTGATTTGTCCTCCATCCCCCACATTGCCCCCATCAGTAAAAGACTTTTTCCAGGTAGGCATTCAGGAAGATCCCCATGGGGTCCAGCTTCTCCCGGACAGAGCAGAATTTGGGGAAGGCTGGGTACATCTTCTCAAGGTCCTTCCGGGTGCAGCTGTGGGCCTGCAGGAGAGAAAACATCCAGGGCAGCTGCCCATCACTGAGGAACCTGTCACTGGCCCTGGACTCCCACCACCACATGCTGTGGGAAGGTCCTGCAGAAGTGTTGGGACCTCCATTCCCTTATCTACGTGCCTAGGGTGGGCAGCAAACAGTGGAACACCATCTCCTTGAGGCACCCATCTCCCTGTGGGACCAGCCTGATGTGGGGGCCCTTCTCTGACCCCCGCTTGACTGCAAACCCCGGCTCCCATGAGGAGCCGTGATGGAGAAGGGGAAGGGACCATCTTCTGCAGACCCTCTTCTCCCAGAGGAGAGGTGCTGTTGGTACCTTTGCCCAGTGTGGTCTCCCACCGTGCTTCTTCATGATGCCCTCGTAGGTCAGCCAGTAGTTGAGGCGGGGGACGTTCTTCCCATAGGGCCTGAGGGTGGGGAGGGTCAGGGAGAGCATTAGCAGGGGCTGTGGGGGGACTTGCACACCCAGGAAACCTCCCTGAGAAACCCCAACTTGGAGAGAAGCACAACCCCAGGGACCCATCATGGGCTCTTTGATCTGGACTGGGTGATGGAAACCCTCTGGGAGCCAGCTTGCCACCAGCACTTGGCCAGTGGGACCTCACGTAGGACAACATCCTCAAGAACCAGGGGTGGGTGGCTCTAGGGTGCTCCAAGGCCACCTCATCCCTTCTGGTTTGGTGCCTGTAAATGTCTGAGTGGGGTGAGAGGACAAAGGTGCAGGAGCTCCCCAGTGCCAGCCGAGAGCTCGTGTCACCGTGTTTGAGCCGTGCATTTGCTGCTGTTGGGTCTCTGGGCATGGCTCCCGGTGCACCACCAGCACGCTGACCCCGGGAGGAAGAGGAGGAGGAGAGGAGGGTGGAATGGGGACATGGCTTACCTGTACATGATGATGTTCATATAGCAGCTGTCTCGCTGGAAGCAGGGACTCAGCCAGATCTCATCCCCCCGAGCGAAGCGCACCTCCACGGGGTAGTGAGCCACCATCTTGGGGTTGTTCTCTAAGGCGACCTTCAGCTCCAGCAGAGCTTCCTTCGTCTTCTCACTGCCCAGGAGAAGCCCCCAGCCCCAGTTAATGCCAGCATGGGCACAGCCACCCCCATCCCCAGCTCCATCCCTGGTCCCATGCTGATTCAGGGAATGGCTTGGCATGGCCCAGGAAATCCCCCCCATTGCTTTGGGCTCACAAATCCTCAAGACACGGTGTGGTGTGGGTTTGGTACCCCAGGAGGGGGATGAAGAAGGGTCCCCATGCTAAACTTGCAGGTAGGAATGGTGGGTCCTAGCCAGGTCCCTTTCTCCATGGCTTTGCTCCTGCTCCTGGGCCAGGGCAGAGCACGGGCAAAGGTGGTTTGGGCACTGAGCCCATCTGGGGATTGGCAGGGAGGGTCTGCAGAGCCATTTACATGGGGATGGCCCAGTCTTGAACGTGCTGCTTGAAGCGACACTCGTAGTTGAAGATCTTGTAACTGATGGCAACGTTCTCCACCCGGGAGCTGAAGAGGAGCCAGAAGAAGAAGCGGTTGATCCAGCACACCAAGCTGGGCACAAAGGTGCTACAAGGGAGAAAGCAGGAGGTAAGATCTGGCGACAGAGCTGATGCCCAGGGATTTGCCAAGGGCAGATGGTGAGCTGTGATGCCACAGGCCACCAGCCCAGGGATGCTGGGCAAGAGGGTGCCCCTCAAGGGGCTGTAGGCAAAGCAGCAAACTTCAGCTGCCCCCACCCAGGGTGCTGGAGCCCACGGGGACCTGCAGCCCTGCTGTGCTCACCCCACCTGATCTTGGACCTTGCACCCTTGCCCCCGGCTCTCTCCTCCTCCTCTTGCTGCAAGCTAGAAATGGGGGGCTCTGTCATCACCTTCCCTCCTTCTCGAGTCCTCAGTGCCTCCCAGGCTGTGCACTGAGCATCCTGGCTACTGGGGACAGGGTGAAGTGGCAGGGTGGATGCCTTGGCAGAGCCGTAAGTGGCCATAGACCCTCTTCTCCCTCTTCATGGTGTCCAGCCCAGCTCTCCTGTGCCACCAGGGTCCTGGTTCCCAGCCTAACCTCCATGACCTGGCCGGATCTCCTCTCTCTACGCTGGTGCTCAGGATACGCTCACATCCAACACCGCCCCCCCCCCAAACTTCTTTTGCTGCTGCTCCTAACCCGCACTGTTGCTCCATCTCCAAGCACACAAGAGGGCAGTGCAGCTCCAGACATCCACCCCAACTCAAACCCGCTCCTCCTGCACAAGAGCTTGCTCGGAGGAGAACAAGCATCTCCTTCTTCCCCAGCGATGGGGTGCTCCAGGTCATAGTCCTCCCTTGCCATCTTCCCTGGGACTCCCAGCAAAGCAGCACAGGTTTCAAGGTAGAAATGCAGAGAACAAATCTGGATGACCCCAGCCCCAGGCTCCGTTTGTCCCCAGCCACTGCCCAGACCGTGCTCCTACCTGATCCAGAGCAGGAACTCCAGCAAATAATAGCCAACAGCATAATCCCACAACCAGCTGGCGGAAGAAGAGGGGGGCTGCAAGCCAAGCAGAGGAAGATGATCGTCATTAGGGACTAGCAGGGTTTGCAGCTTTCTTGGCAGTGGGCATGAAGTTGGGAGCACATGCCTGGATCAGGACCAAGCTGGGAGCTGGGGTTTGGAGAAGGGCAGCTCAGGACTCCCCAGCTCTCTCTCCCGTGATGAAACAGGGCTACATCTAGCCCCCAAAAGAGACCAAGCTTTGTCATGAGGATGCTAAGAGCTTGGACAGCCCCAGCTGCATCTGTGCACTGGGACCCCCAGACCGTGGAGAACAGGCAGAGTCCAGCCCAGCCCCAAAATGCTGTTTCCCTGATCAGCCCCCCGCAGCAGCCCTTGCATTGCAAGCCCATCCTAAAACACGGGCTCTGGGAGGGCACAGAGTTTTGTGCATGGGCCCTCCTCTCTTCCTGCACGGAACCCCGTGGGACATGCCTTGTTGGTGGGATCCTGGTAGATGACACTGACGTTCTCGCTGTGAGGGAACCACAGGAATCGGAAGTATTGGGATCTCTTCAGGTGGTCCTCGAGGTGATCGAGGACCTGCAACAACCAGAGAAAGGGAGGCTGGTTGGTGATTGTCGCCTGATCCTGGGAGCAGGGAGGCACCTCAGAGGACCCCTGGGAATGCTGGGGAAGGTCCAAGGAGTCCGTCTGCAGAGTCTTGGCAAACCTGGGGTTGGAAGGGGGTCAATATAGCCCAGCCACGCACCAAGGGGCTAAAGACCATGGACCAAACATCTGGGGAAGGGAACTGAGCATGCCCATCATCTCCTCTGCCTCAGCCGTGGCAGAGCCCCCCTGTCCTGCAGATGCTGCTAGGGCCGCATCTGGCACACCCCCAAGCTCAGACCCCACATCCTCCTGCAATGACACCTCTGCAGCCCCCAAACTGCTCCATCAGGCATTCCCAGACATGAGGCAGCACAGACGTGGTTGAAGGGTCCTCCCTCCAGCCATCAGCCATACAGCGGGGCATGCTGAGGGCTTCCAAAATCTACCCCCTGGTCCAGCATCAGGGATGCCCTCCCCAGCTTTCACACCCTGGCAGCACAGCCCGTTGTGGCTCGGTAGCCCCGGGGCAATGGGCACTGGAACCAGGATGGAAGCGGGGATGGAGCTGGGATGGAACAGGGGATGGAGCCGGGATGCGCTACACAGCCCTGTCCCAGACACACCCCCGCCCCTTCCAATGCAGAATTGCCAAATTATTTATAAAGACACAAAAAAGAGCTTTAAGAAAGGCAGCTCCCTCGGATGAGCTGCCTGCCAGCGGCCAAGGACAGCGAGGCATGGGGAGTCTGGGCAGGCAGGGGACAGGCAGGACCACGCAGCTGATGGGGCTCAAGAGGGGGGTGACCGCAGCCCCTGGACATACTCAGCCTCCTCCTGGGGCCGCTGGGGTCCTGTCCCAGGGCTACTTAGAGGAAACCCCACTGCCTGACACAGCAGCACCCACAGAAACGAAAAGGCCCTTCAGCCCTCATCCCTTCTCCCTGCCTGTGCGCTCAAGGGTGGAGGGACCCTGTGCTCCCCCGCCCTGCACGGTGCTATTTTGGCTGGGCCAGCACCTCTCCCTCTTGCAAACATCCCCTCTAACCGCCCCCTGCTCCTCCTGCAGAGATCTCCCATAGGTTTGCAGAAAGGCTTGAAAACTCAGCAGTTTTGCTTCAAGGAGTTTGCCTGACCCAGGAGAAGGTGCAATGACCCGTGGATATAACCCCAGGAAGGTCATGACACCCTTAGCTGTGAAGCTGCTCCTTTCCAGCTGGGTTAGTTGAGTTATTTGTCTTAATGAGCTTTTAATCACCGGGCTGGGCTGCTTTAGCACCGAGCATCTTGCTGTGACCCTGCCATAAGGTGAGGGTCTCTGTGGGGTCATGCTGCCCTAACGCTGCGGTCCCGTTAAAGCGGGGAGGAGGGGAAGATAAATAGTGTAATCGGTGAGAAATAATGCTAACGCTGTTGTCTTCCTCTTCACATCTGCAGCTCCCAAAGAGAGCCACAAAATCTCTCTTAGCTGTTCCCAAACCAGCCTCTTTTCTGGCCGGAGAAGTTCCGATGTCGGAAACAGTTAACGATTGTGAGAGTTGAAGGAGGGCAAAAGCCACCACCCCACGTTTCCATTGGTTTGGTGCAGGAGCAAATGCATCGAGCAGATAAAACAAGTGGGGAAAAGAAGGATGCCGCTTTCCCAAGGTGATCCTGCCGACGTCTGTTTGTCTTCCAGCCGCGGCGTTTCAGCGCAGCAGCAAATCGCTGGCGGGGTGACCTTTTCAATGTGCGCTTTTGATTCTTGTGATATCCGTCTGAAGGAAATAAGCCCGCGACTTTGTAGGATAATTGCAGCGCAGCAGGCAAGAGCTGAAGGCAGCGAACAAGCCGGCTTCGGGGAGTCCTTGGGGACGTTGTCTGCTGGCTGAGTGCCGGAGTCGGAGGCAGGGGTCAGGCGGTGGAAATCTTGTCACTGTAACGTGGCCAACGCACGCAACGGAGATGACCCTGGAGCAGGCAGACACCCAGGGGATTTTACTTGTCTTTATTTCCCTCCCAGGAGCCCCAAACAAATCCCTTTTGCTTCATAAAGGCCGGGTTTAAGGAAGCCACTTGCTTTCTGGCTCGCAAACACCCTTGAGAGCTCACTGAGCGGAGGGGTCAGGCACCCTGCCTGCTGCAGTGCAGGTTGGGTTGCTCCACATGGTCCTCAGGGAAAGGACAAGGATGGGACAAGGGGCAGACGTGGCCAAGGTGCCGCGGAGGATGAAGCACAAGAAGTCAGTAGGGTGCGTCCTGTAGGTCTGTCAGAGCAAGGAAGGGGAGCAAGGGAGCATGGGGAGCTCTCCTTTTGGGAGAGGAGACGGATGCTCAGCCTCCCTCTTTTGCCCGCTGTGCTGCCTGTGCCTGCTGGGATCCCCCCACATCAGGGGACAATGTCTGAGCACCCGTCGGAGGCGTCACTTCCACGCACTGAAGCCAAAACCAACACCTCTGGCTAGTTGGGACCATGTCAGGCCCAGCAATGGAGAGGGCATTTAGGCACTGGGGGGTCTGGGAGGAATTAGGCTGGAGGGATCCATCCATCCGAGGTGCCTGGGACTTCCCCCAAAGGGTTAGGGTTCAGGCTAGGGTTAGGGTTTGAGTTAGGGTTAGGAAGTGGTGGACTCAGACCAAAAGGAGCGCTTTTTCACCCACCAGGTCGCTAAGCTGTGCAGGTCTGCAGGTGGCTAACAGTTTGCATGGGCTCAGAAGCAGAGCAGAGACCCTCCTGGAGGAGAAACTCATCACCTTATTACGTATCCACAAACCACCCCTAGCTCGGGGAGCCCCAAAGCTGCAAAGATCAGGGGAAGAGGTATCGTATCTGTCTCTGACCCATCCTCATCCTCATCAGCAGGTCTGGGGTAAGGAGAGGCTGACTCCAGCCCTGCCACCACCCAGGGATGCTCTGCGGGTCTCTCTGGTGACCTCAGCTGTGCAACGAACCCTCTCGGTCCCTTGCCTCGTTCCTGGTCATCGTCAGCCGCTAAAGCAGCTGAATTTATCCCAGTGATAAAGTTAATCACGAGGCCAGAAAAGAAAGCATGCAGATCTTACATAACCACAAATCCAAGCCTGGCTCCTCTGACACATATATTATCTGCAATGTCTTAGATAACTCAGGCTTAAATATTTCAAGCAACCTGCTCCCTTGCCATTATTCTCTTCCGCCTCGCTGGGCCACTCGACATGAAAGCCGGAGATGTGGAAGCAGGCGAGGAACAGCGATGACTGAGAATTGATAATGGCATTAATATTTATAGAGTGCATTCTTGTTTCACCCTCCTAACAGCCCCGAGGGACGGGGAAAGATGGGCTGAGCTGTGCAAGGGGCATAGCCTGGGCAGATGGTGCTGAGCAGGGTAAAGCTCAGCCTGGGCTACCTGCCCTGCTCAGGAGAGCAGGGTTATCCCGCACCTGAGCATAATTTTCCTATCTAAAAGGCAGATTAGGAGGTGTAAACCAACACTCAACCTGGCAATTTGGCTGAAGAAAGGTGCTAGAGGATGCAAGGGATGGTCCGAGCAGTCTGGCAGGGTGGGTGAGCGCCAAGCTGTAAGGAGCTCGCAGGCTCCCACCATGTTTAAACGTATTTAAACTCATTTAAAGAGGGGAACTCCCTGCTGCAGGGCACCGGGGAAGTCACAGCTCAGGAAGCAAACAGGCCAAAAAAATACTCCTGAGCCATTAAACGCAAACTCACCACCTCTGAAACTGGAAACACTGGTAATGAACTTGCTGCAGGCTGGAGAAATATCTCGGTGGGTTTCCCTTATTCCTCCGTCTTCTCTTCCCACCTCCCAGGAAAAACGAGACCCTGAAATGCTCCAGCTCTCGACTGCCATGGTGCAGCTGCTCTTAGGGGGGTGAGAGCAGGCAGGCAGACACGCTAATGGACTTGGGTAACAAACATGGACCTCTCTGTACGCCTCCCCGGTCAGCCCAGTTGGCCACGGCACAGTGCAAGGACCACTGGCTTGCTTTGGATCAGGCCTTACGAAGAAGATGCTGCAAAACCGCCTTCGATTCACATTCCTGGTGGTGTTCAGGGCACCTCAACGGGGCACTGAATAATTCAGTCCTTAAAAAATTAAGGACAGTGTTTCTCAGAGCTTTACTAGTGCTGCAGCTCTGATCAATCCTGCAACAAATTTCGCTGCTTTTGTCCAAGGACTATTTATTTTTCATGAGCCCAACTTAAGGAAGGTTTGTGCTGTCGTTAGCCAGGGCTGGAACTGGACCTGTGAGACTCAAATGAGGCAACGGATGAGGATGTTGCCGAGGACGCACCAGCAGGGACGTCAGACCTCACAAGAGGACAAAGGTGATTGGTGGTTGAAGCAGATCCAAGCTCCTGGAGAGGATCCTTTCCACCACCACTGGTTTCTTCCTCTTGGTGGACATCGTGCCTTAGTTTCTGCATCCAGAAATTCCAGTGAACGCAGTGAGTCCGCACAGCATTCAGAAGGCCACCAGTTCTTCCAGCTTGCAGGTGGCCCCTTCTCTGTAGGCTTTAGCCTGTGCAATACTGTAACCTCCAGCGATGATCTGGTGCCAGAGACCTGGGACAAGCTGGATATTGCTCAAAGCAGCAGGTCACATCCTGATACAGCAGCTATGTCAGGCTGTCCTGGCCATGGAGGGGCTGAGCATCAGCTGGAACAGCTCTTTCCACCCGACTTCCCAGCACCGTGAGGGTGGGAGGGCTCCGAGGAAACGCATCCAGCAGTTAAAAGGAATTCATATAATGGCAGAGACAGGGAAAGTTGGTTTTGATGTGTTCCCAGAAGAATTCCTTCAAATCTCACTGTAGAAATGCTCCCTGGGCCTTCAAAAGGCTTTCTGAGGGAACCAGATCACACCCACCCTTGGCCACAGAGCCACGTGGAGACCGAAGCTCGTAAAGCCCAGGGGATGCACTGCCCCCCAAAAGGGTGTTTCATGCCTCTTTCGAGGGAAATCAGCCTGTCTCAGCCTGGTTCCTGTTGGGCACAGAAAGCTCAGCTGAAGGAAACCACTCTCCGGCACTGAGCATCTCTGCACCAGCATCCCAGGACACTCTCCCCAGCGCCACAGCTGCATAATGAACAAGGACCTAAAATTCTCATGCTCTCCATGGTCGACGAATTGCCCTTTCACAGGCTACATGCAAGGTGCTGTCCTTCAGGAGGGCCATGGCCACAAAGAGGGGACCTGGGGAGAAGATGGAGGGTGGGGCAGCAAGGAGGAGGAGACAGCAAGACCCTTCAGAGAAGGACCCTGAAGAAACTTCCAGAGCCAGGCAAGATCCTGACCTATGAGAGAGCAGGTCAGAAACCCTCCTCAGAAAGCCACCTCCCTTGAAGATGTTCCTGAAGGGCCAATCACTAGCACCACGCACCTAAGTCTGGGTGATCGGGACCTTTGGCAAGACGGAGGCCGAGAAGGTCCATAGCAACGTGACAACCAGTTTAAAGGGAGTTTTCCATCACACAACCCCAATGCAGCTCTGGCGTCGGGCACTGATAGAGGTTTTGCTCAGTCTGGCCCTTGAAATGTATCACCCATCGCACTCCTCATCCCCAGCAGGGTTTGTCCCAAGTTCAGCTCACAGAAAGAGCTAAAACCAACTTCACACTGGGAGACGGAGAGCCCCATCCCAAAACATACCCTGACCTCACACACAAGAAAGGACCAAGTTATTATCGAGAGCACAAGGTGCCCACGGACTATTTTAAGTGGCCCATCTGTCGCTGGAAAAAGCAAAGCTCTCCCTTAGCTGAGCAGCAGGAGACGACGAGATGGGAGACGGCACTTCCTCGGAGAGCACACAGCTCGTGGGAGCAGCCATGCCCTGAGGGATGCTGCTCCTCTCCTCCAGGACACAGCTAGGCTGCCTCCGGGGGATGCTGGCTCAGCGCAGGAACAGTCTTCTCCCTCTTCTTGCTCAGGCCAGGCAGCACATTGTCTCATCAAACCAGCCCAGGATTTCCAGCAAGGGCAATTTTCTCCAGCTGGAACATTAAATCTGCATCAGGCTTAGTCATGCGTGCCTGGAGTTACCAGAGCTCCGCCGACCTGCTGGCGCCTGCGAACACCGGGTTAAACGGAGCAGAGGCGTTGGCTGATCCATCTCACAGTGACGTCTCCCAGGGACAGGAGCAAGCGCCGAGGGTGGCAGCGCTGACGCCCGCAGGCTCCTTCAGCATCTCTTAACTTCATTGCGCTGGAGCCCCCCTGCTCAGCCCCGTCACGGCTTGGAGGCAGCCCAGGGAAGATGAAGCTGACGGCTACGGGCAAACCTCCATCCCCGCTCCGGTGGGACCGCTGGTGTGGCACAGCTTGAAGCAGCTCCTCATGGCTGCGGCTGCCCTTCCCCTCGCTCATCCCTGCCTGCAGTGAGGCTCAGGCATCACTCACAAGACGGGGGAAGAGTTTAAAACCCACGGGGTTGTACGCAAAGGGTAGATCACAGTTGGACGGGGGCGGGGGGGTGTGTTGATTTTTGTCACCTCCGGGCTGAGTCAGGCAGGGGACTATGGATGGATGCTGAGATGTGAGGATGATGCTGCAGAGCGGCCAGGACACGGGGACATTGACAGGGGTCACATTGTCCAGCCTTTTCCCTAAAGAAGGCACTGGGTGCCCTTTTGGAGGCAGCGCCAAATCCAAATCAGAGGTGAAATCAAGAAGAGCAGGAGAAGCATTTTCACCCTCTTCTCCCCTGCTTCCATCCCACCAGTGGCACGCAGCTCCCGCCAGCCGACTTGAGCCCAGCCAGGAGGTGTCTCCCGAGCAGGAGCCCTCTGGATCTCAGCTTTGCAATGTACCCCATGCCAACGCAGCCTCTCCAAGCTAGGGATCATAGAGAGC